CAGAAGTCTAAATTCAGCTTTAGTCAAAGATAAGCACTTTCAGATGAGATCACATTGTCCTTTATTATCGCTTAAGGGGGGCAAATTATTGTACAGCCAGCAATATTGTGCATTCAATAACATCATCAACAACAATAACAACAATAAAATTAAGCATAAGCTTAATACAACAATAATGAAGATCAACCATAGCTGATATATAAAATACTCATTCAATTCAATTCAGTTCATTTAATTTTACTTGTATAGTGCCAAATCACACCCAGTCTTCTCGGGACATTTTACAATGCAAGGTGTACATCTTACTATTATTAATATTATAGAGGAAAAACACAAGAAATGCCCTTTCAACAAGCACTTGGCAACAGTGGGGAGGAAAACTCCCTTTAATGGAAGAAACCTCAGACAGATCCCAGCTCTTGGTGGGCGGCCTTCTGCTTCGACCAGTTGGGGTGAGTGGATAGAGAAGAGAGAAAACAAAATAAAAGCAACAAGACACAACAAACACAACAACAAACAAACACTGGTCAGGTTAATGTGGCTGGTGACTGTTCATCAGAGACATAGAGCTCCAGAGCCAGGACTACCTGCAGAAAGGTACAGGGAGAGAGAGAGAGAGAACACACTATGGGAGAGAGAGGACACACAGTTAATAACATGTAATGATGGCATATAAATGCATGGAGAGAGAGGAGAGAAAGGAACTCAGAGCATCTTGGGGCCCCCCAACAGTCTAGACCTATAGCAGAATAACTAAGGTGATCCTGAGCCAGTCCTAACTATATAAGCTTTATCACAAAGGGTGTCCTGAACTGAGACTGGGAGCTGATGCCACAGGAGTGGAGCTTGATAGCTAAAGGCTCTGCCTCCCATTTTACTTATGTGGACTCTAGAACCGCAAGTAGAACTGCACTCTAAGAAATGTATGGACCAGTTTTTCAGCATCACTTTGAGAGAGGATGCTCCTGATTTTAGCAATATTGTGCAGGTGAAAAAAGGCAGATCTAGAGACTTGGTTTATATGTGATTTAAAGGATATATCCTGGTCAAAAATGACTCTGAGGTTCCTCACAGCAGTACTGGAGGCCAGAGCTATGTCATCTAGAGTAACTATGTGGTTAGACAGCAGATTTATAAGGTTTTCAGGCCCAAGTACAATAACCTCGGTTTTGTCGGAGTTTAGAAGTAAGAAATTACAAGCCATCCCTTTGTCTTTAAGGCATGCTTGAAGTTTGATCAAGTGATCCGATTCATCTGGGTTCATAAATATAACTGGGTATCATCTGCATAGCAACGGAAATTTATGCTGCGTTTCCTGAAAATATTGCCTAAAGGGAGCATGTATAAAGTAAATAAGATTTGAACCAACTTAGTGCAGTTACTTTAATCCCAATAACATGTTCAAGTCTCTGCAGTAAGATGCTGTGATCAGTGGTGTCAAAAGGAGCACTGAGATCTAAGAGGACAAGTCCTTTGTCTGAGGCTAGGAGAAGATCATTGGTGACATTCACCAGTGCTGTTTTTGTACTATGATGGACTTTAAAACCAGACTGAAAATCCTCAAATAAATCATTCTTGTACAAGTGGTCACATAACTGCTTTGCAACAGCTTTTTCAAGGATTTTAGAAATAAAGGGGAGATTGGATATTGGTCTATAATTAGCTAGGACACCTGGGTCAAGAGTAGGCTTTTTGAGTAGAGGTTTAATTACAGCAACCTTAAAAGCCTGTGGAACATAACCTGTTAATAGAGAGAGATTAATCAGATCTAATATGGACATGTTGATTAGGGGTAAATGTCTTTGAGCAGCCTGGTCAATATTTGATTTGATTTGATTTGATTTATTCTTTCAAACATGTAACACAGTCAATATGTCAACACACATAATTCCACACATATCCACAAATATATTTTCAATTTGCTTATACCTAGTACATGCTTGAACAGAGTAGAAAGAAGTTAGACTGCTCTAGTCCTACCCCCTAACATCATCTTATCATCATTGGTTTGCAAGCAGTATTACTACATGGATAATTTTGTTCTACACCACGCTAGTGATATACTAAAAACACCACACTCCCAATGTTACACCTGATTAATC